TTAGGGAAAGAGGAAGTCCCTTGATCTCAACAATAAAACAGTCAAGGACGCCAAGTATTTCTTATTGATAAATAAACAGAGCAAATCCAATTTGGGTCTCTAGTGCTATTACTGTCAACACCTTCATTCTGAAATGCTTCAGTGGGAAAGGAAGAGAAAATCACAGCTGGCATCTAGAAACCACACTAGATTGTCACACATGTGACTGTCTTGTACTTGGATGTGGGGGGGGGGACGGGACGGGACATGGAGAATCACTAACTTAAATTCAAATGTGTGCTGCAGGATGGGACAGTAATTGTTGCATAATTCGACTAAGGTCTAGTGGACGGTTTCCCCCAGTGCTCCCAACACCCATAATCTGTCCACACTTAAACTGTTTTCTTTAAAAAAAAAAAAAACTAGAGTCCCATAATTAAGCAGAATGAGTGAATGTGATCCAAAGTGGTAGTGCTAATAAGAAATTTAAGGGGAAAAAAAGTATTTGAAAGCTGAGCAGTGGTGGCACACGACTTTAATCTCAGCACTGAGAAGGCAGAGACGGGGGATCTCTGTAAGTTCAAGGCCAGTCTGGTCTACGAAGTTACACAGAGAAACCCTCTCTCAAAAAAAAAAAAAAAAAGGAAAAAAAAAAGTAAGAAAATCAAATTTACCTTCTCTTTACCAATTTTAAATTAATACTTTTGGTTCAAAAGAAAGGAATTTATGGCACACTCAACCAACAACAAATGGTATCCCAAAGAAAAATACTTTAAGAATTGAAACTGGTGGAGGGGAGTAGGAAAAGACAGGGGGAATCCTTAGGGAAGACAGAGGAAGGTAAATATGAGAGGAGGGGGGGAGATAAATATGGATCAAACTATTAACTATCAAAAAAAGTATAATGCACATAATTCAGTGTATAGATACACATATACAGTTTTAATGAACTTTTCTTATCTGGGCTTATGGTATCCCCTTCAACAGCCAAAGACCACCTAACAAAAAACAAAATCCTAATTCCAGAAATAAGAAGCCTCTTTTGCATTGCTGGCCAAGGATATCAGAGAGACTCCCAACAGAGCCTGTTACTGTTGCTCTTGGTTACAACCAGAGTGAAGAGGTTAGCCCTATGCACTTCAGAAACAGGGCCCAGGGTGGAAGAGGTTAGCCCTATGCACTTCAGAAACAGGGCCCAGAGTGGAAGAGGTTAGCCCTATGCACTTCAGAAACAGGGCCCAGAGGCCGGAGCAGGACTGATCTGACTGCCCCTACTGGAGGACTGTGTTGGAAGCAGAAGGTGCTTGCCTGAGGGCTCTCTCTCTTTCTCCCCCTCCCCACCCTCTGAAGCTGTAAGCAAGCCCTCAGTTAAATGTTTTCTTTTGTAAGAGTCTTCTCGTCTTGGTATCTCTTCACAGGAAAAGAATTTGGACTACGACAGAATCATCCTATTAACACCAGAACAGATAAAAAGCAATGCAAAGAGCTTGAATGGAGAACTGAGCAAGCGCTTCCTAACTTAAGGCATTTTTACTTACATTGTCTCATTTCTTCTGCATAACTACTGTATGAGGTAATTTTATCTTACTCATTTAATAGAAGAGGAAACTATGATTTGATGATATTAAGTAATTTGTCCAGGATCCCACAAAAGAGAAACTGGAGCTGAAACCCAAGTTATATGGCTTCAAAATAAACCGTTCTTCTTTTCACTACACTTTCCCAACCTGGCAAGGAACTCTGTCATTAAAATTTCCAGACTTTTAATTAATACTTACTATGGAAAGAGATAATATCAAGCTTATAATGAACGGTAATAATGTAGACTGAATATTAGTCATAGTTTTATAACTACAGATGAAGATTTAAGAAATAATTACAAGTTATGCATGATGTTACATTCTTTAAAGCTGAATATATAAGACCCCTAAAATGTGGATATTTTTCTTAAACTTTATTTTCTTAGAAAGGTTCTAAATGAACTCCAGTTTATCTACATAGTTCTGAATATCAGAAACTCTGGAAGACCTCATAATGTGGCGGTCATACATCAGTTGAGCATATGCACAGTAAACTATGACTGTACTTGTTTTGACAGAAAAAAAAGTAGCTACTTTATTCTGATTTCTTTGTTCCAGCTCTAACTCGCCCTCTGTTCTGTTTTTTCCCTGGATCCAGAAATGGCTAAGTCAGGGGAGGCAAGCCTCCAGCTCAGGAACTCTACAAATGTAGATGCAGACATAGACACTGGAATGTATTTCACCAAATGGTGACAACTGGCAGAGTGCTGGGTGTTAAATGTCGAGCTTGAAGAGTAAGAAGGGGAGAAGAGGCAGGGAGAGTGGAGCTCTGGGGAAAACCTAGTGTGGAGTTCACACTTCAAGTTAGCTGAGTTCACTACTCAAGTCCTGAGACTGAAGCATACTCCCTTCCACATCTCAATAAAACAACAGGTAGACCACAATAAAAATGTCAAAGACAATTAAAATCTTATTCACCTGTAAATTCTGATAAATGCCTCTTAAATATTTTAGAAATCAGTGTATACAAAGATATGTATAAAATCTTTCTGAAACTTAAAAGGACACAAATATTTAAGAAAAACTCTAAGGCTAAAAAGATACAATAACTGTATGTGTGTGAATTAATGACATTTCTACTTTATTAGAAAGAAGTTAGGATATTCCTTTGTTAGCACTACGAGACAACACTGAAGATAGTTTTTAAGTCCTGCTGAAATACTAGTAAATCTAGTAAACAGTTACTTGGTCTCCATGAAGTAGGTCTAAGTTAGTTATTCTCCTAAGTCACATTTCCAAACTCTTTTTCCATCACAAAATTCATTCTTCCAAAACAACATGTGCAAGACTGATTCACTTCCTTCAGTAACACCATCAAAACCCTGAATAATTGATCATCCCTTTGTTCTCTCTCCAAAAGATGTACATCATGGCGCAAAACTACATCTACTGACACAAACCCAAGCTGAAAACAAAGCTTTGGTGTAAATGACAAGCTTGCAGATTACCTTTCCTGGGACTACCAGAAGGAACCTTCCTAATCTGGGCCTCAGATACAAAGGTTACCTCACGAAACCACACAGTGCTCTGAGTAACTTAATTACCATTGTCTTTTTCCTGTTACTATTTAGTATCAGTATTTCCACTTAAAAGCAAGTACCTTGACATATTCAGGTGTAGTATACAGCTATGTCAGCTCTTCAAATCTTGATCATTTCAGTCCCTCTGTCGTTAACATTTACCATGGAACCGCTATGTAAAAGGTACTGCTGCCATAAATAAATATGTAAGTAACAAGTGCAACCCACTTTCTCTGTGTAACTTGAAGTTTGTTTCCTTTTGGGGGGGAGGGGACGCTGAGAATTCGAAAGAGTTCACAGAAAAGTTAGAGCTACTTGGCAGCTAAGAATGAAATCCAAGTGTTTTGTCTACAAAAGGCTGGACTATTTCTCCCACACAACGACATCTACCTTTGAAGCAGGGCAGAAGACGCATTAACAGGACACTACATAATCTTAGCTAGTGTATATTAGTACTGTCAATGCAGAAAAGAAACAGATCTTCGCCAAAGGTCTTTTATGGAAGAAAACCGAAAGTGTGTCCAAGAAAGCCTATGTGCTCTCTTCAAACATCCCCAGGACCTTTGAAAGCCCTTAACGTGAGGGCTATCAGCAAATCTTTTCTTGGCTGTAAGAGACACCCAACCCTTTATATCCTGTGGCTCTGCCACACGTCATCAACACCACGGAGGTGTGTGTACACCTCCCCGCACCGAGCAATGTATTTCTGCAGTACTAACATTTCCTCTGAATCCTATCCTCATTTCACATACGAATCGCATTTTTTAGACGTCAACCACTAAAACAGTGTTGGCCTTATCTTCGGATTTCTTTTTTACATCAAACTTTTATATAGTGCCTTCAGGTGAGAAGTTTTTTCTTAAAATGCCTGTACAAGTTAGATTAGCATATGTTAGGGTGATAGTGAGACCACTGTGAATAAAGTTTCTTCGGAAGTAAAGAAATATTAAAAGTTCCATTGTTCTTACATCATATAAGGTGGATGAAAATGAAAGTCTGCCCCTAGCCCCTTCACAGACTTAGACTGCAATGGCATTTCCTAACAAAATCACAAATGTACAGAGCACCAATGCACCACCCATGGAAACTTAGTTGTCCAGGAGCGCCCTGGCTCTTAGCAGAACTAACCTCACGTTTCAGAGAGCTGATCCTAAGAGGACACAAGGGTGCCAGCCTCCAGACACCTCAGACCCCTAAACTACCCTTAGGGAGGGGGGGGGAAACGCCCCTGACTGCCGGCTTCACCCCAGGGGTCTCAATCTGGGTCCGACTCCTGAGGGGCAGCCATGAACGAGCCGGGCAGCCAGCGGGACCTGACACTGGAGGAGAGGTGACCCCGGGTCAGGGGGGTCCTGCAGGGCAGGGGCTGCGGGGACACCGGGCTCTGGGTGTCCCGGGAGGGGGCGGCCAGGGGGGTGAGGCGCCCAGGAGGGGTGTGCACACCGAGAGCGCGGGGCGATGAGCGCCAGCAGGGGAAGGGTGCAGGGGCTCCGGGGCGCCGCAGCCCCCAACCCCCGCCCGACGCCCCGCAGCCCCGCGACCCGCGACGGGGCGGGGCCAGGCGCCCGCCACGGCCGGCACCGCCCCCTCAGCCTCCGGGTCCCGGCGGGTGGGAGGGGCGGGCCTCGCGGGCCGGACCCGAGCCCAACCCGGAACGTTCCGTCGTCGCGGGCGGGATGGGGCGAGTGACCCCGCGGCCCCGGGCGGGCGGGCGGGCGGGCGGGCGAGCGGGGACGGAGCTGGCCGAGGGCGGAGAGGAGCCTCCGGGTAGCCCGCGCCCGCTGGGCCAGAGCCCGGCGCCCCGCTGCGGACGGGGGGACGGTGGCCCCCGTGCAGAGCTCGCCTTCCGGCCTCCTTCCCACCTCCCGGGGCGTTGCCCCGGGCAACAGTGCCTACCGACGGCGGCGTGAAACGCACCTACCTAGAACCTGACAAGCAGGAGCCCCTCACACCCGGGAGCCCGTCGCCACCCGGCGTCACAGGGGCCGCGGCAGCCAATGGGAGCCGCCGTCGCGAGCCTCCGCAGCCAATCCCGCTGCACTCCGGTCTCCGGGCACCCGGAGTCCTCAGCCAATGAGCAAGGGTGAGGGGCGGGCTCTGCCGCCGGCCCCAACCCCCTCCTCTACTACCTCCCAGGAGGCGGGCGCGGCCCATTGGCCCGGGCCCGCGAGGGGCGGGGCTTAGCGGGCGGGCGCGGGCGGGGCTTAGCGGGCTGGGGCTTTTACGGGCGAGCGGAGGCGTGGGCCGCGGCCGCCGCCCTGCGGGCTGCTTTCCCCGCCGCCGGCGTCCTCGAAGGAGCCCGCTTCCCCCGAGCCCGGCTACGGGACGGCGCGACGGCGGGACGGGCGCGGAGGCGGAGGGGCCCAGACAGGAAACTCGGGGAGGCTCGCACGGCCCAAGCCGGGAAGTGTGACCTGGCCGGGTGATAAGCGGGGCCGCCGGGAAAGGGTCAGCCCCGCGCTCCGAACGAGCGGCCGGAAAGGAGGCGTGACCAGACGAGGAGCGCCCGCGGGTGGCCCCTCTCCCTTCCCGCGTTCTGCTTGCGTGTGCTGCAACGTGCTCAGCACCGTCTTTCCTCGCCCCCGGGCTCCCCGGTGCCTGCGACGCCGACGATCCGAGGTTCTCTGGGGACGTGGATGCTGTCTGTGCAAGGTGTACCGCCGGTCCCGGCAGCGGCCCCCTCCAAAGTACTCACCTCTAGGAAAGGTCTGGGAAGCGAGAACTCAGAATGATTGGCCCTTCCAACGAGGGCTGTTTTCCGAAGCGCTCCTCGCCAAATTGGTGCAAAAAAAAAAAAAAAAAAAAAAAAAAAGAGTAATGTGCACCAAACAGATCTTAACTAGGTGATCTGGAGCTCTGTGATAGGTGTTACTCGTCACCGAGCGTCACTCCCTTAAGGCTTGTAGCATGCTTTTTAAGGCAGTGTGTCTTGTACGTGAGCTCAACCACATTGGCCGCGTGCAACAAGTCTAGTAACTCCAACCCCACTCCCACCCTTAAAACCTGTGAGTTAGGTGAGAGCCGTTCTAAACGGTTCTTCACTTAAGTCTGTTTCAGAGCCCAGGAAGCCAGACAATACTGTAAGGACACACAAATCTTTAAGCCCTGCTGTTCAAAATAGGTGAGACTCTCTTCCTTCTTTTTCTCAGAAAGCAGTTAAGCACTCTTGTCAGATTGATGATCCAGGGATGTATTTCTCAGGAACTTGGGTGGTACAGGGCTGTGAATCAGTGTCAGAGTGCTTAAAACCCTGGTTGAATCCCAGCAAGGGTAAAGGAAACCCCTAACAAGCCTGAAAAATCTTTCAAAGTTCACAGATACCGACAAGAAATAGCCCCCTATCTCCAGTTTCTGTCAAACACTAGAACTCTAGTTTAAATTGCAAAACTACCTTGGGCATAAGGATTGCTTTTTCTCTTAAAATACAGGTGGCACCCCAACAATCCACTGCAGATGTGACAAATAGTGCTGGGTTCTACTAGCTATTGTTCGTTGGGAAAATATAAATAATGGATTGTATCTACTGGTCTACAGAAAAGGGTGAAATTGATGTCTTTTGCATGCTCTTGGGTAATGCCTTGGGCATGCGTCACATTCTGGCTTAATGCCTACTTGACAATAAAGTTGCCTTCCTTCTCTTACATAATTTTATCAATGACCTCCAAATTAAAAATGGTAATGTTTTCTATGTATTTTTGTAGTTCTGTAGTGGCATACATAAATAGCCTCCTAAATTCAAGTTAGTTTTCTATAAGCATTGAATGTTGTGTCTGTCGTGTCAGTGCTAGTGAAATAGATTAAAGTCTGTGCAAGTATTAAATGATCTTGAGAAAAACCATATAACTTTGCACTGCTTTACCAAGCATACCTTCTCCATGACCTTAGGCTTCCCATCTGTATAAAAAGATCTAAATACAGTTGATGTGGCTGGTGCATTAGTAGCTCACCTACATATGTGAATGGAATCCACTTCTCCAAAAGCAGTAAGAATTTTTTGGGAGGCTGGAGAGGTTGAGAGCATTGACTGCTCTTCCAGAGTCCTGAGTTCAATTCCCAGCAACTACATGGTGCCTCACAACCATCTATTATAAGATCCTGTGCCCTCTTCTGGCGTGCAGACAAATATGCAGACAGACACTGTATATGTAATAAAAATAAGTAAACAAATCTTTAAAAAGAGCTTTTTGGTTTTATCATTACCTATCCTAAACCCAACTATACACTCAAGAAATATAATTTGTCCACCTTGTGTCAGGCATCGTGTTAAAAAATGCAACTTTGCAATTTATAAAGAAAATTGTTCATCAGATATACAAATCACAGTCAAATTTGGAAAGAAAGAAACTGGAAGGAAAATAGCACACCTAGTTTTATTTTCCCCCCTCTAATAAGTGTCATTTTGCATTGCAACCTATTTAACAAATACTTTTTTCCACTTCCAAAAGTTCTGAACAAATTTCTTTATGCAACCTTGTAAATATGGGAGAATTAAGGAAAATAATTTCCTTTCTAGGTAATCTATGAACTTCATAAAACACTAGTCTAATCCTTCAGTTGAAGATACATTACTTTAATATGGTTTAATAGATTCCTTTACTTTTGTTTGTTTGTTTTTTGAGACAGAGTTTCTCTGTGCCTTTGGAGGCTGTCCTGGAACTAGCTCTTGTAGATCAGGCTAGTCTCTAACTCACATAGATTTGCCTGCCTCTGCCTCCCAAGTGCTGGGATTGAAGGCGTGCGCCACCACTGCCTGGCTAATAAATTCCTTTTCTTCCATTAAAATTTAGATCTGTGCCAGGAACTGCCACAGTTTATGAAATGCCACAGTCCTACCTAGCTGTTAAGCAAACAAGTCCTCAGTGTGTAATCTATACAGATTAATCAAATTTTATATTTTAATGAAGTGATTTTCCTGGGGAAAATGTATATAATGTGAACATGAAAACTAGGAAATTGGTTTAAATACACTTTTTAATTCTTTACTTTTGGTTAATATCATTCCCCATCCTATCTCCCTCTCGTTTTCCTGTTTAAGATTTTCTCATAGACTTGAGGAATCTTGGCTGTGTGCCGTCTTAGTCCAGCGATTCCTACGTCTGTGATCTTTGCTCCTTCTCTTCCTTCTGTCAGCCAGTCCTCTTGGTCACTTCTTAGCCCTCACCAAGCGCACACACCACGCCTAACGCAGATGAAGTGGAGAGGGAAACAGAAGAAAAAACAGTTTATCCCTTTTCTGTGCATGCGACACAGTCTGTTTTCCCAAGACATAAGCGTGTTCACTTCAGTGAAAACTTTCACTGCAGATCATGTCTGGCGAAGTTCAAGACGTTTGTTGTTTTGGCTTTCCAAATTTCAAAATGCCTGTCTATGGCTTCCTCTGAGTTCTAGATCTGTGTATGGAAAATACGGGGAGCAGAGGGAAGAAAGGTGAAGTAGATGAGAGACGAACACTTCCATAGCCTTCAAAGTAAATGTCAAATCCATTGAAAACACTTCATAACCTCCCCTCCCAGCCAGGGGCTGGCTGACTGAGCGGACTCACATTGTCTCCCTTGGTTCCTTGGCTTTCTGATCAACACTGAGGAAAACCACCACCAGCATTCCTCGTCAAGACATGCCCTCTTAAAATGTCCCCAGATTGTTCAAGGTCTGTCCCTCTGGTAAACCATTCTTTTCTCAGAATTTACCTGCCCTTGCCTTCATTCCCTTATGCCTAGTCCTTTGTGCCTTCAAAAACAAAGCGTGAGTGTGTGCTTGACAGTGCTGGACAGTGCTTAGGAGGGCCTCCTAAGAAATGCACACCAACAGACTCACTCTCAGATATTCTGCCTTGGGAAGATCTGTGATGAGTTTTTAAGGGAAAATCAAGCTTAGGAGACCAGCCAAGCCGGTCGACAAGGTGCATTTTGCTGAGCCTACGTTTCTACTTGCTGGCAGCAACACATGAACTTAGGTCACAGGGAATCCAGCTGTCAGGTATCCCTGAAGGCAACAGTAAGGCGAGAAGCTGCAGACAGAATTATCTGGAAGTCTGTGTAATCTAAGAAATGTGTAGACCAGATCCTCAGCTCACTTCCTCCACTAAGTGAGGAACAGAAATGCTTGCTCCCGGGTGAGGCTGAGCTAGAAGACTACTGGATACAGACAGGAGTGTGGTGGTTCCCGTGACGTAGAGGAAGTAAGTGTAGATCCACATCCTTCTCTTGCCTAACTCCTGCAATGGCAGGCTCCAGGTTGCTGGAAGCAGTGACTTATCTGAGATTTTTATGGCTACTTGGGGAGTCTTCTGTCTGACACAGCCAGATCCCCTGCCCCATCACTTCAAGAATGATGTCTAAAATCTGTAAGTTCCACTACAAAAAGACAAGTGGGTATCATCTTGTTATAGACCTCCAGTCATGGAAATCAGACACCAAATGAAAGAGGAGGGTGTGTTGCCAGTAAAAAAATAAAACCAATGGAGAGAACAGGAAAAAAGATCTCAAATGATCTGTGAGTGATTTTCTTTAAAAAGAAACCGCTGGACTGGAGAGACGGCTCTGAGTTTGGTTCCAAGCACCAATGTCAGGTTACTCATGACCACCTGTAGCTCCAGCTCCAGTGGGATCCAATGCACCTGTCTTACACACACACACACATACACACACACACACACACACACACACACACATACACACACACACATCTTAGAGAGGAACATAATTTGTGCATGGAAACAAGATACTTTTGATGGGGATGTCTTTTTCTCTTATTGGTTGATGAATAAAACACTGTTGGGCCAGTGAGGCAGGAAGATAGGTAGACTAGGAGATGAGGAAGATTCTGGAAACTTAGGCAGAAACAGTTGCCATGTAGTAGAGGAAGGAGTAACAGGTCTGGACCCTTCTCCAGAAAGATAAGACCATGTGGAAATACTTAGATTAATAGAAATGGGTTAATAATTAGGACAGACCTCGACAATAAGAAACCCTAGTCACCAGCCAACAGTATTATAATTAATGTAAGT